CACAAACTCAGAAAGATGAACGCACAAACTCAGAAAGTTGAACGCACAAACTCAGAAAGATGAACGCACAAACTCAGAAAGGTCTCACAAATTCTAAGTCCCTTACTCATCACTGCATTCTGTATGATCTAGTTCAGTGTTTTTCAACCTTTTTTGAGCCAAGGTACATTTTTTCATAGAAAAAAACAAAAATGTCAAACAAATCTGTATCCGCCTATAGTAACACTATAGTTATTCTTATTTTATTATTTTCTTATCTTAAGTGTCATGAATAGGAATTAAATAAACACAAAAATGTATTTTTATCATATTTTATATTTCTTCTTTCAAATTGCACTTAACATGTCCACTTCAATATACAAAATGTTCAACTCGATACTGATACTCAGGAAAATATTCGATACCATGTTTGATACCACGAGGATAAAAACAAAGACCCCAAAATGTAACTGAATTTTGACAGGTTAGTGTCTTTGGTTTCAAACTGATCTGTTACTGATGTTATGGTGGCCCACATTAATGACCCTAATCCTAACCCTAACCCTAAACCTAACCCTAACCCTAACCCTTCATAATTGTGAGAAATGAATATTTTTTGGGTTAAACTCGTTTGGACTTATTGTACAAACCTATTTAACATCCACTATTTTAACATAATATTATATATATGTTCTTGACAGAAAATGAGCCAAAGCCAGTGAGTCTCAGTTTGAAAAATGAATTAATTGTATCATTTTTCCTTTAGTAAAAAATGAAAACGGGTCCCACAGACCCGAACACCACACAAAGGTTAACCTCAGACTGTCACAATAATGTATCAAACGTCAGACTTCTTTTTTCTTTCAGTTTTAACCTGACTATACGAGACATAATACATTTTCCTAACAATCAACATATACCGAACCGAACCGAAAACCGTGAACCGAACCGAACCGTGGGTTTTGTGAACCGTCCCACCCCTGATGTAGAAACAATAGAAACAAATACAAACACTGAGAGGCATCACTGACGTTCAGGTGCTCGGTGGTGACCTCCATCAGCTTGCTGCAGGACGGGTGGAGCCTCTGGTAGATGATGGTGTCCGCCCCCTTACAGTAGAGACTCAGCCTCCCCTCCGGGCTCCGCACTGATCACACACACACACCATAAACGCCAACATTTCAACATGTTAGAACCGGGCTATAATTGCTCACTTTAGCATAATATGTTATGTTATGTGGCGCTATATAAATTAAATTGA